TGAGTGTGAAGCGTAACAAATCCTTTGCCTGCAAAAATCAGAATTACTGTAGGCGGCAGGAGCTGTCGCAGCTATTCGTCCGCCTCCCCGCCCCCTGCCGCCTTATGAGGATGACTCCTAATCACGATTTATGGTAGTGACTAATTTATATCGACTGCTTTGAGTATATCACGAATGTGTTACGTCTAGCATGCCATGCTCACTCACGTCAGCCCTACATCTTTGCAAACAAACCAAGTAATCGAGTGAGGCGTTCATAATATAGTTGTTGAGAGGTCGATGCGTTTCCACAAGATTGCCTTTAACAGAAATGTGACCACAGATTGGAGCAGAAGCACTGCCTTCAGGACACAAAGAGGGAGGGAACAGATTAGGAACTAAAGGATAGGGGCACAGCACACGAACCGAGCGCACCGGCCCGACACCACTGCTTCCTTCTCCTCGACTGCCAGCCTCGTCGCCTCCACCTCGCTGCTCGACATCAACACTCTGAATTCAGTCAACATAATGACACTCAGGGTTGTTAGTTCAACACTGTAACCCTAACAAAAAACGACCCAACGTAGAGCAACGCCTTGAAGATACCTGCTTATTCTTCAGAATGCTTCTTGGCTGTCCCTTTTCGTCTCTGGCAGCGCTAGCTCTACCGTTTGATGTGTCATGATAGTTCACGTAGGCATAATCAGCAACCGGTTCCGGTGTTATGTGTCTACTTCTGAGCTGCGCTGCAATACACACCATAGTTTTCTCGCTCATTCGAATTGGTTCCATGGGAAAGTCGGGCAAGAACAAAATCGGGAGATATACCGAAAAGGCAGAAAAATAAAAAAAATCTGCTAGTTTCGAATCAAGATTGCTCTTGGTATGCGGCCGTTTGGAAAGATGAGTTATTATTAATTTTGAAGGCATCGGCTACACACCTGCATAGTCAAAGTCTTCTCCAAACCCTTGTTTTCTATCCATCGAGCGAGTGCGAATGTATGGCCTATCGGTCTCGCTCTTGAAGAATCGCCGAGCTGTTGGACGGAACCTGAACAAAAACTTGCGATGATGGTTCATGAAAAGTTACAAAAAAAAAACATTTTTTTAACCAAATTCATAATGCACTAATAGCTTGTGCGAGGTGAAAGTCAGATCGCAGAACTTCTCCTGAGCGCAAAAATGTACCAGAAACCGGAATATGGACGATAAAAATAATGTACGGCGCAGACCTACCTCCCATATGTATGTAAGCCGCTAATCAGTCGCCGCATCTCTGTCGTGCCGGAAATGCGTAATTTGCTACCTTGGACCTCTAGAATCATCTGTCTGCCCGAACACGCTTAATATCTACTTGCGGATGACCTCTGGAATGACCATTCATGCACAATCACGACAATCTTTCGGATCGCCCGGAGTGTAGCGAAATACGCTACGATTGTACATATGGTTAGAAAGCTTTTACTCATTCATTTCATTTATTGATTGCTTTTAGCTTGACTTTTCTTATCATCAGGCTGATCTAGTATCACATTTTTTCCAGATGTTTCTTCATTCCATCGCCTACGACGGGACGTCGCCGCATAAAAGCGCGGGGTTGCGATCGTTCGGGGCTTCTGGCACTAGCTTCGAGCTCTGGTTGAGACTCTGGTTATTCCTTCGGCCTTCAATCGCGCCGTGCTCTTCACCGACATCAATAACTACGGTCGTCCTGCCCTCAAGCGATTCTCTCAATAACGTCAGTACTAATATTTTCAAGATTCACTTTACAATAAACAATATTATTTTTCCTGTTTCTAGGTGTAGAAGCAATATTATCAATATCATCAATACGATCAATACGGCCTAGCAATATATCTGGGGAAGCTTCGTTTCGATCAATAAGCGTAGTAAGTGCATCAATATTTGGACCGGGGAAGCAATATATCGATAACACTGCTTTCAGGCAAGACCATCAATATTATCGATATAATCAATAACCCGTCCGTGACCTTATCAAGAAACCGCGTGGCCAGTGGATATCCTCACTGAAAGGCGAGCCGATTATTTCTCTACAAAATTGGTGCATCGGCCGGGCCTTTACTTCTATTCAAGCATTACAGTGGCATTTTAGAATTGCGATCGATTGAACGATGTTGCGGAAACTGCCGAAGTACGAATCAGTGTTCTCAATCTTCCAGGAAAAATTCCGATACCAATTAACCGATGCCAGAGGTGTGGAAGGCTTGGTTAGCCTGGACGGTGTGTGATCCAGGAATCGATGCCGAGCCATGCCCGTGTTAGGTAGCGTCAACTGCCGCTGTACCATTGCCACCGATATCCTAATATGGAGATTTAATAATATATGTGATGTTTCCTATCGGAATCGAGGCGTTTGTCTCTTGAGAAATGGTAGTTGAGGAAGGCACGTGATAATCCGTTGCCGGAAGTTGCTGAAACACAGTCATTTTTGAAGGAACTCAATGACAGCGTTCAAAAAAGCATAAAAAGCAAATCGATACCTCCTTTTTCGTACTCGTACGGTATTTTCTTGTAAGAGGAACTGGTCCTCGATCTGGTTCGATATGGGTCGTTGCTCGGGGCAGTGCAGTATGCGTCAACTTTGAACGAATGCTTGCTGTGAAAGATTTACATCTGGGGGTTATCGCAACGTCCTGTCAGGTCCCAAAGGAAACATAGGCAGACGGTCTGTGTAATTTTAGAGCGTCACCTTTCTATAGGCGCGAGAGAGAGGTGGGTCAGTGGGCGATCGCTTGCGGTCGAGTAGTACGAGGCTGGGCGGTAGGAGGGAGCGCCATTGCTAAACAAAAAAAAACTAGTTTCCTTATTTGCTGAAATTAGCGGAGGCCAAAAACAAATCCTGAAGAAAGAGCGAAAACAACGAGTGGAAGAGTGAAAAGGAGATTACGGTGCGTGAACGTTTCTCTCGGCGTCTCGCTCAGCCCTGGTCTTGTACACCTCGAAACGTCGCGGCTCGGACGCCCACGACTGATTCTGCAAAACAACAAAGTTATTAACCTATAGATTGAGAGATTTCAGCAATACCTCACTAACGACACAACAACTACAGCCATTTCACTACACCATTGCAGCCTACCTGCTGTCAGAGCTTTGTCTGACGAAGACCAGCAACCTTCTAAATTCCCTGATTTTCAGGTTAAGGTCTATGTACTCTAGCAACGTAAATAAAATAGTACCTCGTCAAACTTTCTCGTGTAGCTCGGACTGGCGTTAGACGAGTAGTAGTTACGAGCGTCACTAGCAACATAAGGCGCGGTTCTGAATTGAGTGAGGAATCACAGTTAAAACTGAAAGGTAAGTGAGCGCTCGAGCGAGCTGTAGGGGAAGTAGGAAGTTCAAAGATAGGGGACTGCTGAATGAAATCAACGATTGTTAATGTTCTCCCTATTTATAGGTGGGTTTTATAATGAAAAGATAACTTATTGCAAACAAGGGTAGAGAAGTAGGGATGAAGAAGAAACCATGTGAAACAGCCCGGAACCCGAGAAATGGGACCCCTTCCTTGCCCGTTGATTTTCGCATTGATGCGACTCTCATCGTGCCCTCTTCAACGCTAACGCTCTCTCTGCTATGTCGGTGGGCGTTCCGGGCCAATTGCGTCAAAGAGGAGGTCATACCAAGGCACCAGGAACATATCTTTCGATGCGAATTGCGTACTGGTATTGGTTACCAACCTGAAGTCGAGTCGCTCCGGTGAGTGATCATGAGCACGAAGTTCTTCGCGAGCCACGGCGGCACTCTGAAAATGAAACATTGGTGATGTTCCTGACGCTCGCCCCACAGATTCCTCCAACAAATGCACATTAAATTTATTTTTCGTTGAGCGCGTAGAAAGTGGTGCTGAATATTCTCAGTGATCGGTGGCGGTAGAATTAGATGGCTCCACTTTCTCAATTGTAGACGGGTTTTCAAAGATTTTTCATTCTTTCCTAGCATAATAAATCCATCAGTTTCATAACTGGAAGTTCTGGAAACCGTTGAAATGGCGTGCAATCCAGAGCGTGAGGTGAAATCTACAGAAACCAGGTTTATCTTTCTGCATTACCCTTTCCAACGCTCCCAAGGCCTAGGCAAGATTGTGAGGTTTATCGTTGTACTTTGGAATTAAAACAGAAATAAATTCGCAATAGCGTAAGAAAAATTGTTAGTAAAGTCTATCTAGAAAGTCGTTTTCAACCTAAACCAGTTTCAAGATAATTTATAGCGGCGACGACGGCAAGATGCTGAGAGTGCAGACGTAGCTTTTTCCATGACCGGTTCAGCAACTAAAGCGCTATATAACGCTTCCGCTCGAAATGAGCGACATAAAACTAAACAGATGCACCTTCTGAAGCCATCCCTCTCTATGTTTCTATTGATGCGTTTTGGACAGGGTCTAGAGCAGAAACGATGTTGACCATTTCTTTGAGAATTCCCAGGTGAGTATAAATCTTAAGGGACCGTATCATTATCCATTGCTTATTTTAGTTCATTAATCATTTACTAAAATGAGCGTGGAATTCATGTTCAAAAGTGCCTCGACTGAACATTTGCTCAGTAATAGCCAAGTAGTGAAAAAGTGGAAAAATGTGAATGGGTATGAACCCTTGCCTAGAAGGACGAGAAGCCCGCGTTAAAAATAGAGTTGAAAAATTATAAATGTTTACAAAAAATTCGGGACGGTGGAGATCAGTGGTAGCAAAACCAAAGTGAGACCTTGTTAGGAAACGAGTGTTCGTTGAGAATTATCTTTCACCCGGAACGATGCAATAAGCGCTCTATTTAATTTTTGTTTTTTTTTTTCTTACTCAGGGTACTGTAGAAGTAAACGACCATTCCTTTCTAGCTATCTGAGAAATTTCTGTGGTTCGAGAAACACGCGAGACTGTTGCGTAGTTGTTGTTTCCGGTAGGAAGTCTGATACGCAGGGTTCGCATTTGCATACGAAAATGTGCTGCTCATACACCGCTCAGCAGAGTAAAGCTTTGTAGCGCATTGGAGTTCTTTCAGCTGAGGTCGTTTGCATGGACTAGCATTGCTTCGACAGCTTATTTTTCTCTGGAATCTGGTTCTACTCTTTCAATGAGCTGAGAATGTCTTAAGTTGTATTTTAGGAAGTGGCGTTTTCAGTCTTGTTAATGATGTGACTTTTGCGATTTAGGGAGGGAGTGCGCGTCGTATCTTGCTCTGTAGCTCGATCCATAGATGATCCGTGGGTACGACTTAGTGAAAGCGAGGAGTGGCAGAGTGAAGGAATGGTTCAGATCTCTTACAAATAAAGGATTTACGTTAGTTAAGAGATTACAGGTTTGAAGGACACTCGTTAAGTTGTTTGATATGCATGTACTGGAACAGATCGAATTTCTTCGAGGGAGTGTTATACCATGGCGCTCCTATTAAATAGAATTAATTTTGGTACTACTTTCAATGTTAGCTGGTGAATGTGGTGAGTCTACAGAGGACGACATCAGCGTTGGGCTTAAAGAGCAGGGTTAGATCTGATAACGGGATCGCGATGGGTGATGTTTATGGTGTCATATCGATTATCACCATATAAAACATGACGTATCCAAATCACTTTCGGTTTTTGAAGTTCACAAAAGATTTGATCAATATGTCTTGGCGTTTTGAGAAGTTATTTTAAAATACTCTTTACGAAACAGGAGATAAAAGAAGGCTGAGGAAAAGGAAAGGATGATACGGAATTTGGTTATGGTTCATACTTGTGGACAGCGATGTGGCAAGTTGATGAAACACCCTAGCGATGCCTTGGTCCGCACGTTGAGTTCCTGTCAAGAGGCATCAAAAGTAGGCCTCGGAGAGGCAACTTGCACTGGGAACGGATCGAAGTATAAAACCTAATCGCCACCATAATGGAGTTAGTGCTATCGAGGATTGCGAGAGACAAAGGTGCTAACGTCGAGATATCTGTTAGATTCGGATTATGGCGTCGATGTCACACGAAATGAAAACATAGCATGCCATGCATTTGCTTAGATTGGCACGTGGCTTAAGTAACACTACTACTTCTCTGACTCAAATATCGCGAGACAGGAAATAGAGGGGAAGAAGGATTATCTCGCAATTTTAACAAGTGCTCGGGCCGCTGCAACGTACGCATCCCGTTGCCACGCCCCCAAATCAGACGTTCGAAATTTGGAGTGTATGGCCGATGTCTAGTTGGAATCGAGCCGATTCGTAGCGAGGTGCGGCTTTCTGCTTCGTCTCGCGCGTTTCATTCATTTACAGAAGAGGGAGGGGGTCCTAAAAAATCGGCCGGGTAGAATATCTTTATTTTGCAGGGGTAACCCGTTTTCTTGGATGTTTTCCAGGGTCTCCGGAGAGTACGTGAGCGTTAGACCTTAAAATTTTTTCTGTTGATGTTTGCAGAGAAAATAAATTTCGTTGGCACATGCCCTGTTGAAGTGTCAGTTCGAATAAATGGTGGATCAGGGGATAAAGAAGATTTTCCCCTTCAAAAAGCGAGAAAGTGTCGGGTGCAGACCATGCACCACAAGTGACGACGGCCTTCACAAAATGTTAATGTTTTCTGCCAATGAAATGATTAGCCTGTTGCAGTTGTATTCTATCGATTGTCACTAATTACAACTATCATTTACCAGAAATCAGCTATCACTATGAACAACTTCTAACCAGATTTACTTGGAGGCCGTCGTCAGTTGTGGTGTTTGGTCTGCACCCGACACTTTCTCGCTTTTTGAAGTTGAGGTTACACTCAATGAGGTTCATAAATGGTACCGGCATGATGAGAGTAAAACGGATCCGTTCCTATGGGAGAGTACCGGCCTTGTGAAGTAGGTGACAGTGGTAGATCTAAAAGGTACTATTCAGTAGAGAGGAAAAACTAATATGTGAAGAGGTTCAAAACGGGAAAGTTAGAAACATAATAGACTCCAGAACAGATGCACATTTAAATCAGTTCAGAAGCGTTTGTTCACAATTAACTTTACAAAAAATCGGAAGCTCTTGGAAACGGAAAAATACCCCCAACTAAAAATTGACGGGTAAGATTAAGATTTACATTGCATTATTGCTCTGCAAATGTAAGTGAGAACTAGAGAGAATACTTCGACTATGTTGAAGGATCCGAGATTTTCAACGCAATCCTCGAGCATGGCATACCTTGGATGCAACTGTTACTCGTATGCAAACGTCTTGGAAACGTCAGAACGTCAAACAGAAAATCTAGATAGGGGTGCGTGTTGAGAAGTGGTTTCCGTTTCAAAATTAAAGGGGGAGGGGCTTGCTTTACAGCGCAAGCTACATACAGCTAGGGGTTGGCCGACCTGCTCGAATGAGTGGAAATAAAGCGAGCACCAAATGGGATCACGAAGGGGGATGCGGACAACTCCATGGCCCACAAATTTAACTGAAAAAAAACCAGATGAGCTGAAGTGCTTCCGTCTTTGAACATTTATATTAGTAGTAGTGAAAATGCTCTTCCAGTGTGGAAGTACCGTGTTATTCCTATATCTTAAGCAATAGCTATAAAGAAGGAAGTAGGCTAGATTTGGCAGCACTCACCATCATAAAGACTTTCCGTGACCCTGTCGAGATCCCTAAAAAATATTCAATTAACGGACATTCTAACCGTGAAGCGTCCAACTTAAAAAAGCTATCGTAAACTGATAAATTGTAAGTCACAAAACAGAAATCTAATGCCACTCAGAAGCCGTTAGCTACCGTAGCGCCTCGTCGGTTGAGCCGATAGTGCGGTTGCGAATGCGTCGATCGCGATTCTTGCGGCGAAGATAGGCGGCTGCCGATTCCCAGCTCTCTCTGCCACGAGTACTGTAAGCCACAAAGCGTTACCATCGAGCTCTTACCTCATGGGCACCTCTCTACAACTCGTCTACGTCTGATGTGCCAACTGAAGCTGTGAGATATCACACACAACACTAACATAATCTGGTTAGCAATCACAGTATGCAAAATTATAACGCTGGCCCTAGAACCCGCCGTGCAGCGACGAGCTAGCCTAACTACGAACTAATGGCTCGAAGCACACAACGTAATCAACTGACGTCGTGATCTGCGAGAGCCAAACACTGTTGGCATTGCTCGGACGGAACAGTGGGTTTGTGTAGTAGAGTCTGAACTGAACACCGTAATCACGGGATGCATCATCGTCCTCATCGACACAATCACACATTTCAGAACTTCGGACATTTTCGAGACTTTAACGCTGACACAAATTTGTTTTTCCTCGGTCAATTAATTAATCAGTCAATTGATTATATTGATTATCCATCACTCTAACTTTTCAGCTTGTTTTGAAAGATCAGCCCTTCCAGTCTAAAAACAAATCCCTCCCAGGTAGGTTATCAGAAGTAATTTGAAAACACTAATTTTTTCTGAAAAAAAAATGCTACTTCATTTGCCCTAATAGAGGTCCTTCTCATGATCTCTAAAATTGACATGATAAGCGCTCAGTTGAAGGTAGAGAGATCTCAGTTTTCGTCCATAATTACAAATACAATTAGAAGAAAGATCAAGGCACTAGCAAATTAACATTCTGTTCGACGAAGTTCACTGGCAGACAACGTCACCGCAACACACACTCAAATATGCTAGGGAAACCGACCTCGGTTCTTCTGGAGGAGCGGCCATCTGCTGCTCTTCAGGTTTCACCTCTTGCGGCTTCTTGGGCACTGGCTTAGGCTCTATTGTCACCTGGAACTAGCCCTTTTTACCATTTATAGGTGTAAAAATCTCAAGAGAAACAGTCGACTGCAATTTCATCCAGGAAGAGATCAACTCGGCTTCAGAACTCGAAGAGACGCCCCAGGATCAAGTTGGTGGGATAAAAGCGCTCGCCAATGAAAGTACGAACGCTAGATGTGATATTGGATGAAGCCTTTGTTTGCACCCAATTTCGACTTACCATTGTTACGGAACCCCAAAGAGCCCTGTCCCCCAACTGTGTGGATGTAACCCTAAACTGTGTTCAACTTTCTTATATGTACATACTGAATGTATCGACACGACCCATACATAGCACTGGACTCGGTTGAAAACAGCGAGGATTAGGCGGTGTTTAAGCACTTCACAACGATTGAAGGCAGAGGTGATGGTCAAGCTCCATCCACTAATCTCGTGGCACATAACAAATACAGCAATGACACCTGTGCTGGCTCTCAGATGAGAGTATGGTGCCTTTCGGAAGATTAGCTCTCTAGAACAGGTTAAATGGCTGCTTCATCAGTTCTGTTAGAGCGATAAAATGCGACGAAACGGGAGTTTCAATGGAATCAACTACGAATTCACGAGATCTCTATGTGCGCAATAGTACGTGACTCACTGAACAGGTCTTGGGTTGACACCTGGCAAAGAACTTTAATTTGTCAATTTTGATGAATATTAACAACGGGTTTAACGAGACTTTGCATCTGAGTTTCTTCACACAGCCCCGGGAACAGTGTCAACCGTCTGTTCGAACTGTTCGAACGAGAGGGTCGCATTTTGGTCACGGGCCGAGGAAGGGGGTCGCAATCTCGAGGACCCACGGCCGCAATCACGGCGGTAGCATCATTGGTCGGTGGATGGAAGGGTGGGAAGGAAAGCTCACAAAAAAACTTGGATTAGTCAATTGAAATTGGAAGTTCCAAATGCCAGCCACGGGCGCGTGCGTGGCGTATCCGAGGGCAAGACTTGCTTGTGCAGACCGCATTAGATTCGTGAAGTGAATGTGAAGTGAAACAGAACATTCTTAGCACTTGAGGGCACTCTTAACATTAACAAAAGGGGGTCACAACTGGACCCCCTCGATAGGGGGTCGCAAAAATTCCGAAAATGTTCGAACGTGACCGTTGACCTTGCCCGTGACATTACAGCAAATCCATGGGGATGGCGTCGTGGTGATAGTTACGGCTTATTGGACCAGGGCAATGCAACCAATAACAAAAGCGCTATAGTCATCAAAATCCCTAACCTGAGTACTTATCACGTTTGATCCAGCCGGTCTCGTGTAAGGCTTCGGCTCCATAGGCTTCCTCAGTTCGGCCACTGTCATGAAGTAGTTGGACGACGCTGTCGGAGTCTTCGGTTCTGCAACAAATGCTAATGTAACGCAAGACAATAAAGGGTCATGTAACGCAAAATGTGTTTGAATCCAGCCCTTTGTTGCCCATTGAATAGAAATTTCTTTCCTTTCCTTCTTTCAACAACAGCTCCCACGATAAGGACTGTTATAATTCCGTGTTAGAGCAAAGGCACAAGTTTGCACTGAGGGTAGCCTTGATAAAATTTTGAAGTACTTTGCCCAAGCGGTAAACTGGCGGAAGTGCACCTTCAAAACGAGCTATAACGATATTGTATACTATGGACACATTCAGGCGTAACTCATTGAGCCTTCAACCCTTGATCTGACCCTAACCCTTTACACTGTATGGCAAGGCTGTATCAAAAAGGCTAACCCGTTCGTTAATCTTCGCTGAAGTTTGTGGCATTCTCCCGTTGTTCAGAATGCCTTCTCCTCTCACATTGTTTTGTATGCCTTTTAAGCGTATCCTTTTTAAAGGCTCACTCCACTTTTAGAAAGTTGGGTCTGTTGCATTGTGGATTTTCAGACTCAAAAATGAATGCTGATTGTTGCATTACCCTAATTTCCGGTAGATAAGCCCGCGCCGATATCACGTAAAAACACCTCCGCTGGTGCAGTGCACTTGCGTACATCTAGAGACAACCGTAACATGCCCATAGGGGTAATTCGATATGCTGATTACGAAAACGACACTCATTTTAGCGGCACCTTGTCGCGACTCTTTTTCCCCGCCAAAATCGGTGTAAACTTCTGTATAGAAGTTATTTGGTGCCCTGATTACGAATATGACATTCGTTTTTGGCATTAACGTTGTTCAACGCATATTTCTCGGTTGGAGAGCGCAGACGAGCAGAAAATAGGCGCCAAATAGCGCCAGCGCCGAGAATGAATGTCATATTCGTAATCAGGACACCAAATAACCCCTATACGGAAGTTTACACCAAATTTGGTGAAAACAGGTGTCGTGACAAGGTGACGCCAACTGGCGCCAGATGGCGCCACCGCTAAAAATGAAAGTCATTTTCGTAATCAGGGCATCGAATTACCTCTATAGGCAAATTTACGGTAGTTTCTAAGGTGTACAAAATTACACTGCACGAGCGGGGGTGTGTTTTACGTGAATATCGGCGCGGGCTTATCTTCCGAAATTAGGGCAGCCTACAGGTAATGGAAAAGAACAAAAAAGAGCCATTAAATTTGCAAGATCGTATAGACTTGGCTTCAAGCTCATTTATTAGCCTTTGCTCCTGATATTGTAAAGTAGAATATAGAATAGTATGTAAATGGGACCAACAAAAGGAATTCCATTGAGACGGGACGCAAAGCTTGCCGGTGTGATCGGTATGATCTCAATTCTTAGAACCCTTTTGATTCCTCACTACGAGTTCATTCCACTGAGAAAGAAGCATGCTTTCATTCTCGGATGCACTAACACACACTCATTTGATCGCGTAATGAATCCTTAACGTCTCTAGTTCATCATGCTGCATCTTCATAGCTACCCGCTCCTCTTCGTATTCCCTGCTGTCGGAAAGTTCGATCTGTCGTTGAAGCAGTCTTGTCAGTTCTCGATAGAGGGACGCTCTGGATGTGTCATCGGACGAGCGAGTCCAAAGGCAGCGACATCATGGCGGCGCGGAGAAGCTGGTCGGATAAATTTCTATC